AACTACACTCAAAGGTGATCCCACAGAATGTGGAAATTATCGAACAATATCATTAATATCACATGCAAGTAAGATCTTACTGAAGATAATTCAAAAACGGTTTTAGCAGTATATTGACAGAGAACTTCCAGCGGTGCAAGCTGGATTCAGAAGAGGACATGGAATAAGGGATATCATAGCTGCTGGCAGATGGATCTTGGCTCAAGGCAAAGAATACCAGAAAGATGTTTATCTGTGTTTTATTGACTATGCAAAGCCATTTGATTATGTGGATCATGACAAATTATGGATAACATTGAGAAGAATGGGAATTCCTGAACACTTGATTGTACTCATGAGGAACCTGTACATTGACCAGGAGGAGGATGTCGTTCGAACAGAAAAAGGGGACACTACATGGTTTAAAGTCAAGAAGGGAGTGCGTCAGGGTTGTATCCTTTCCCCATACTTATTCAATCTATAGGCTGGGCAAATAATCTGAGAAGCTGGACTATATGAAGAAAAACATGGCATCAGAATTAGAGGAAGAATCATTAACAACCTGAGATATGCTGACGATACAACTTTGCTTGCTGAAAGTGAAGATGACTTGAGGCACTTACTGATGAAGACTGAAGAATACAGTCTGCAGTATGGATTACATCTCAATATAAAGAAAACAGAAATCCTCACAACTGGACCAATAAACAGCATCATGATAAATGGAGAAAAGATTGAGGTTGTCAAAGAATTCACATTGCTTGGTTCTACAATTGACGCCAATGGAAGCAGCAATCAGGACATTAGATGACGTGTAGCACTGGGCAGGTCGGCCGCGAAGGACTGCTTTCAAGTGCTGAGGAGCAAGGATGTCTCCTTGAGGACTAAGGTGCGCCTGACACAAGCCATGATATTTTCAATTGTCTTGTATGCATGTGAGAGCTGGACAATGAATAAGAAAGACCAAAGAAGAGTTGATGCTTTTGAGTTGTGGTGCTAGCGAAGAATGCTGAAAGTACCGTGGACTGTTAGAAGAAATAACAGATCTGTTTTGGAGGAAGTGCAGCTGAAATGCTTCTTGGAAGCGAGAATGGCCAGACTTCATCTCATCTATTTTGGTCATTGTTGTCAGAAGGGACCATTCCCTGGAGAAGGATGTCATGCTTGGTAAGATGGAGGGTCGATGAAAGAGGGGAAGGCCTTCAACGAAATGGATTGACATAGTGGCTGTGACAGTGGGCTCAAGTATAGCAGGGATCATGGAGCTGGCATGGGATTGGGTTGTATTTCGCTCTGCTGCACATGGGGTCACTATGAGTCAGAAACAACTCGATGACACCTAACAACAACAACAAACTACACTCATTATTCCCTCTTTTTGGTTTTACTTGTCCTCATTTACCAATTGATGTCTCTGGTTCCCTGTTTACAGTCTTGTAAGCTTATATTACTTTGAATACTTTTGTAACTGTTGGTTTCTGGGTTATGTCATCATGTGTGTTATAATAAGAATTATTTTGTAATATATTATTATGTAATTATTTATATAATAATAATTATATACCCAGAAAGATTATCTACCAAGTATGAAGGTGAAATTAGGATATTTCCAGATAAACAGAAATTAATTGAATTTGTTAAAACTAGACCAACCTTACAAGAAGTGTTAAAGAGAGTCCTTCAGACAGAGAACCAACAACAACTGACCATTAACACACACGATAATTCACACATATAATTCTTGGTTGGAAATTTTTCTCTTTCAGAGTTTTATATATGCCATCCCATTGTCTTCTTGACTGCACGGTTTCTGCTGAGAAATCCAAGCTTAGTCTTATTGGTTACCACTTGTAGATAACTTTTTGTTTTTCCCGTGCTGCTTTCAGGATTCTTTCTGTGTCTTTGGTTTTGGTGACTTTGATGATGATATGTCTTGGTGATTTTCTTTTGGGGTCTATCCTATTTGGGGTTCGCTGAATCTCTTGAATGGATAACTTCTTGCCTTTCATCGTATTAGGGAAATTTTTTTCCAACAAATCTTTGACAATTTTCTCTGTGGTTTTACTTGTCTCTTCCTGTTCTGGAATTCTGATTACACGTAGATTATTCCTCTTGATGGTATCCTACATGAATCTTAGGCTTTCTTCATTTTGTTTTGATCTTTTTTTTCTGATTGATCCCTTAACAAAGTTCTATTGAGGTATTTGTCTTCAGTTCATGTAGATACCTTTTTAAAGGGGCACAGTACTCAGGGGTGCTCTTCTTTATTCTATGAGCTAGTCTTTTATTCAGCTCAAAGGTGACCCTGGGATAGTTTCAGTTCAAGGTTTAAGGAGTGTCCCAGGAGGATAGTCTCAAGGAGTTTTCCAGTCTCAACTGACCCAAAAAGTCTCTGGTTTTTAAGAATTTGAGTTCTGTTTTGGGTCTTTCTCCCATGCTGTCAGCATCATCTGCTGTGGCCCTGGTCTGAATGACCACCATCTAGTCTATATGAAACTTTCTCTCTGTCATTCCTCTCCAGGCACCCAGCCACGTGTACGGTGGGCACAGCAGTCATGTCACCAATGTCGATTTCCTGCACGCAGACAGCCACCTCATCTCCACGGGCGGCAAGGACACGAGCATCATGCAGTGGCGGGTCATTTAGTCCCTGCTCGCCGGCAGAGCCAGGAGGTTCAGGGGCTCGGGGTACCCACCCCCCAGAAGACCCAGACTCTCATTATGCTTGGTCACTGTGATTTCTGTTTTGTTTTAAAAATTCTTACAAACCTCAGGAAAAAGATGTCTTCTACCGGTTACCTTAGCCTAGAGAACCATGGGTGTCGCATCAGACCACCAGTTTGTTTTCTCTTGGGTTGTACAATATATAGGACAGTGCACATTGAATATAAAAGAGACACCAAGGTTTACATTACAGCCACAGAAGTACTGGCATCTACTCAGTAACTTTTCTATGAACTCTGCAAAATGGTCACAGATGCCTTTTAAAATACTGTATATAGTCTTTCTGTCTCACACCTGCTTTGCTAAGTCATATATTTATGATAATGGTGAGGTACTGAATTGCGGTCGCTGGTGATCATGGGTCCTAAGAGGATGATCTGATTGAGAAGGAAGCGAGTCGCTGATGAGGACGGCTCAGTCAGGAAACACAGACATGAAGCTCTGTGTGGTGTGTTTTCGGAGGTGGTGTTAGAGTCTCCCTGTGGGAGGCTGGTGAGGAAGGGGTTGCCGTTTCCTTCTTGTGTTAAGCAGCTTCTGCTGCAGGTTCACGAGTCTTTCAGCAGGGTGGGTGCCATTGCAGAGTTTCACTGGACAGTCTTGCCTCCCTACACACAGTCAGCCGCTTAACACACGGACCGTGCCCTCCTCTGCTCCCCACTCACTGCCCGATGAATGGTCGAGACATTTAACCACCATCCTCTGTATAGTAATTGGCATGATACGGTATTGTATTTGTATAGGGTTTAGCAATTCGTGATAAGTACGTAAGGCTAGGCTTTACTGTTCTATGCTTTGGATACTGTATATTTGTATTTTAAGACCAAGCGTAGACCAAGTCAGAAACGTATCCTTTAAGTGTCCCATACACCTGTGAGGGCAGCAGCCCGGAACAGCTCCAGGAAGCACAAAGGGCGGCTTCTCCTGGCCCTGGGCATGGTGGCTCTTTCCCATACAAAGCAAGATTGTGTTCTGTTGAGTAAAACGTAGGTGGCATAATTTGTCCAGAAGGCCTTACCCATTTCGATTGTGTGACAGATTGAAATGTATTGTTTACATTGGGGAATGTATCTCAGATTGTAAAATAGAAGAGTAATAAGCAGACTGAAAAGCAAATACCACGATTTTGCTTGCTCTAGGCTCGTTGATGGCTTCTCCCAGCTCCACGGCACTGGGTGTGCAGAGTAGCTGAGCTCCGGCTGCTGCCAAAGTGCAGGTCAGCAGCCAACAGCATGTATCCAAGGCAATTTGTCTGTATGTACCCTTACCACATATATTCTATAATGAAATAAAATCTGAAAAGTGCATTTCTTATTGACCTGTGCTCATGAAAGGATACAGACGAAGGTGTTTACAGGGGGATGGAATCTTGGGCCCAGTCGGCTTCGAATGTGGCTGTTTTCTCTCCCTGGGTCATCTGCACGGGACACTCTAGTTGGCATCGTGTGTAAGCGCTCATCAGAGTGGATGAGGACTGAGACCTCGGCTTGATCACCCTACCCAGTTGTTAGCGTACATGGGTATGGAAACACGACCGAAAGAACAACATTTTAGAATTAGTAAGTAGAGCCAGAGCAGGAAAGGAAAGGGTCCTGCTGTTGGTGATGGATTACCTGCATCCTTCCACAATTTTCCAGGCTCAGTCGTGGAAGAAGGACACGTGCAGGCTAGCTTCCTCGATCCGTTTTAAATGGAATTCTAGAAATGATACATTGTTAACCTTGAGGTGGTTCGTATTTGCTCGCTCACCCTTCGACATGGTAGCACCAACTGTCTCACTGCTCACCGCCTCCCAGGCAAACAAGGCCTGGAACCTCCAAGATTCCACTGGCAAGAAGAGGCTCCGGGAGGCAGGGGGCAGGCACCCAGACACACAGCGTGGCCTTTTCTGCATGGTGGGGTCTCTGGGGCCTCAGTGCTTCTTCACTGCTTCCCTGTAACACAGAAGGCAAGGGCAGTGCCCGCTGCTGTCCTGTCCGTTCTGACCATGGCTCCTCCGCATGTGCAGAGCAGAGCTGCCCCATAGGGTTTTCTTGGCTGTAATCTTTGCAGAAGCAGATGACCAGTCCTTTCTTCCGTGGCACCATTGGGTGGGTTCAGACAGCCAACTTTTAGGTGAGTAGCTGAGCACAAAAGGTATTTATTTGTACTCAAAATAACTAGTTAAGTTTGCTTGTGTGAGAGAGAACTTGCCAGTGAAATAAATCCTAAGGAAAAAATTTTCACCTGCTGTTTCAAAGTTAGTGAGATGAAATTCTTGTTTGGGCAACAGAGTCTTGTTGCCCCACAGTCCCATGTGAATAGCACCGTGTACAGAGTGGGCACTGGGCTTCCTCAGGGTCAGGTGGATGCTGGGGTCTGAGTGCTGGAAGGCCAGAGAAGCGTGCATTGGCTCTGTTTCCTAACACATTACAGCTGCAGCATTGTCAAAGTGCTGTGCCCTGGATTCCTGAGCCAAATCGTTTGTAGAGATACGTGTTGACCTACCTCATGGGCTCCCGATGTTGGGGTTCTCGGTGCTGAGCTTCCTGGCCACAGTGAGAACACCAGGGAGGCACGGGTGGCCTTATCCCTATAGCGCCTTGGGTTCAGAGGGAGACACACGTGGACGCATTCGTGCTGCTGCTTTGATGGGAAGGGACTTGTCTAGAGGGTGAGAGGGCAGAAGAGGCCACGAGGCAGAAACTGTCAGTGGGGAAGGGGGTGGACAGTGCTCCCTGGTGAGGTGAGAGGGAGCCCATGTGGAGGTTTCTCATGACGACCACCCTGGGTCCTTGGGGACAGGTCCTGGCAGCCTGCCTCTAGGACCTAGGAAACGGGGCTGAAGAGTGTGTCAGGGAAGGGCACCTGTCGGCAACATGCGTCAGGCATTTGGGGAGTTTGTGAGTTCACCAGAACTCTGAGAGGAAGCAGTCAAATGTGCTGGCTCTGCTGAGGCTTGGAGGGAGCAGAGAGTGTCCCCAAGACTGGCCCTTGTTCCCAACTTAGCTGACTCACTCGCTGAACAAAGAGGAACTAAGTGCTGGGAATAAAAGGATGGGCCAGAACGGGCCAGGTCCTTGTCCTTGCAAGACTTAGTGAAGGAGACAGGCTAGGACCATAATTGCCCAGTTGCCTGTAAAGTGGCAACAGTGGTGAGTGTCATTCGAGAGCTGAGAGCACAGGACAGGGAGACCCAAGTGTGGATCGGGGCCAGGGAGCTTTCTTGGGAGGTGCAGGAAGAGAAGGGATGGCCAGGCAGAGTGGGGAGAGAGTGGGGCAGACTGAGCACGTGGTGAGAGGGGTGGCTGCGGGAGACGCAGCAGGGCCACGCAGGGCTCCACGAAGGGCTTTACTCAGTCCTTAGAAGCGTCAGCAGGCTGCAAAGAGGCCCCAGTGAGGGCCTTCGCCATCGTGCCAGGGCGAGATGATGGTGCACAGGCAAGCTGTGGAGGGGGAGACGTGAAGGGACGGATCCGAGGGCACACCCCAGGGTTAGTGATGGATTAGACTTGGGCTCACGGCAGTGCCGTTCCTGAAGATGCAGGCTTGGGCGTGTGGAAGCGGAAGGTCGGCACTTGGCCACCAAGCCCCAGAGACCCTCCGTTGCAGGAGCAAATCCAGGCTCCGCTGAAGGCTGGTTTTGCAGCCACCATGTGGTTGAGATGGGGAGTGTGGGTGGAGCCAGCCCAGAAAGGGACGGGGGCAGCAGAAGAGAAACCAGCACGTGGGGTCTCTCCTGGAAGGGAGGAGCTCCAGGCTTCGTTTCGTGTATCTCAGCCCTGGGCAAGGCTGGGCAGTTAGACATTGGGGCTGGTTTTTGACAACTGGAAAGTCTGAGTAGGGCCATGGATGAAACAGGAACCCTCATTGAGTTTGTCAGGGGTGATATCACGGTGATGACGTAGATGTCTACCAGAGCTGGATGAGGCGGTGGTGGGTCAGTGGTCCGATGCCCCACCAGTGCACCTGTGGCACCGCCCGTGCCCGTCTGCTGGCGGAGGCTTGCGTGTTGCCAGGATGCTGTGCAGGTTCCGGCAGAGCTTCCAAACTAAGTGGGAGGGAGGGGCCGCTGCTCTGACTCCACAAACCAGCCAATGAGAACCCTGCGGGGGAAACATTACGAGCCGCAACAGTCCAGTTGGCGTCAGATCATGGCAGGCACTTGGCGTTCTGTTGTGGGGCCGATGGGAGCGCACACGTAATGGCGGGTGGAACCACACAGTGGCTCAGACTTGCTTTTAAACACTCCAGTCTCGAGACAGAGAAAACAAGGTAAACAAGGTTTTCTTGATGTTTGTAACTGTGGAAGCGAGGTGGGAGGCTCTCCTATGCATTTGATCTTTTCTGTAAAGTTGTACATAGGGTTGCTGTGAGTGAGCACTGATGCCATGGCAACTAACAATGTCAATTGAAAGCAGTCAGTAGGAAGCAGGCCTGGAACCCTTTTCTACTAGTAGGAATTGTGTCTTTCTCAGCCCAGTTGCACCCACTGTCCAGACGGACCCATCAGGAGGCAGGAAGTCGCCAGTGCTGCTTCTTCTAAGACCTCTTCCATGGCTGAAGTCGGAGGACAGTGGCCTGTTCCCACACACAGGACAAGACACAAACACAAGAGTGTTTGGCCTTGGAGCAGCCAAAGTAATGACACAAAGGTTTTGGGGGACCGGGACGATGCCAAGGGCTTCCCAGAACTGCACACGACCCTTGCTGAAGGCAGCCCTTTCCACTGCTGCCAGGCCCGCACTGAGGAGGCAGGACCTGCGCCACCAGCCCTGGGCAGTCAGTGAACACACAGTGCCCGGGATGGGCTGTGTGGATATCAGCCTTGCTTTCAGATGAGAAACAGTGACTGGAACAGGGTCACACAGCTTACTCTCGCTGACAACCAAGGCCACCACTCCTCGTCTTTAAAAAAACGATTCCCGGTTGCCATGAAGTCGGTTC